AAACAAAACCAAAAAACAGGGAAAAAAAGGCAGATATAAAGCAACATTAATGTGATTGACTTGGAATTCAAATAGAATTATTAATGACTATAGAGCTAGTATTGAAAGCACATAGTGGTTTGAGGTCAGCTCACCGTGTAACCACAGAATATAAATTTTAAAAGTCTAATGTGACTCACCAAGATGAAAAACAGAAACCTTCTGTTCAGTGCTAGTTAATGTTTGACAATGTATTAGTCACCTGTGATTCACTTTTGTCTCTAGAATCAGAACTCTTAGAAAATGGTTAAACCAGAAAACAATGGCTTATTGATGCAATCATGCAACTTTGTACTTTTATAATCTTAGTTCTGCACCTGCAAAATTACACTCAGACTTTCACCAAACTCCTGTGTGTTTGTCTGTTTGTCATTCACCGAATCCTTGTCCACCCTTTGGGGACCCTGCTCCCGTCGGACTGAACTGCTCCGGTCTGGGCTGGTCTGTCGCAGAGCACAGATAGTGTAGGGCCCCTTGCTAACCTCCTCGCACATCAGCTGACTCCTGGTGCACCCACAGATACAGGACCTAGATAAATGTCTATTATTGTTGCATGCCTGTGGTTATTATCCAGTATATCTGTAGCAAAAGCTGACATAGCCAACAGCTCATGTGTTAAAGATGCTTCTAATGCAGAACAAACAATGTACCAAGCATTCGTTTTTACCACGACTTCTATTTCAGTCTAGAAAAAGGCAGACTACTCACCAAGCTGGCACACTGGCAGCCCCAAAGTGCATACTGCTCATCTATACATATTAAAATGTGCACACCCAGAAAATTGCCAGTATTTAAGGAAATTTGGAGATTTCACATAAAACTGCAGTCTCTTGTAATATTGAATTTGACAGCTCTTGTAGGATACTACATGATTTTTGGAGGGGGGCTCACACTATACTGGAGTGTAGTAATGGTAGTAATGAGTCACTCTCAAGATGGGGTACACACCACATGGTATATCACCACTTCTAATAGCATTATGCAGCAGCAGACCTGTTGCCTCCATTTTGTAATAGTTAAGAAAAAAATCGATTCTTTTATTCTTTTAAAATGAAGTCTCCATTTATGAAATATTTTCTTTTTAAAAATGCATTTTTACTTTATGTGTGCATACATGAATGTAGGCACATGAGCACCATGTGAGCATGTGGTGCCTGTGGAGCCAGAAAAGGGCATTGGATCCCCTGGATCTCGTTGTTAGCTGCCATGTAGGTGCTAGGAATTGAACTGAGGTCCTCTGGAAAAGCAGTAGATGCTTTTAACCACTGAGCTATCTCTCCAGCCCCGAAGTAATATTTTCTTAAGGTTTATCAGATCACAACAAAAAAGCAAGATATATTTATTTTTGACATTATTCTTTTTCTGGTTTACGCCTTAGGAGTGTTTTAGCTGTTACTGAAGAGCCTGGCATTCATGTATTTCAGGAAGGTTGAACTGCAAAGATAGAATGCAATCTTGATTGTTTTTGCCAAATTCTTATCACTGTTGACTCGATTTCTTCCCCTAAATATATCAATTTAAAAATTACTATATGTAAAGTAGGGAAATCATTTTGACATAGCAAAGGTGCTTCAATTTAAGAAAACTGTCTAGTCAATTTTGGTGAAGATTTTGTTTGTAGTGTATGAGAAAGAACAGTCCATTTCAAGTCCTAGAGCCACCACAGCACATATCCTTTAGGAAAGTGCTCTGTTCTTTTCTCATTACCTGGGAAACACGTTGTCAGGTGTTCCATCAGTGCTTCTTGGGTGACAGGTTTTCTTGCAGAGTTCATTGCAGAGATGGCCAAGCAAAGGATTTCCCCGAGTGGAATAAACTGTGATTGACTGATGGGGGACATACTGATTGGTGACACATCACCTGTAGAAAGACAATTTTCAAGTGAGTGGTTCATTAAAACACCCCACCGTTTGTCACACACACACACACACACACACACACACACACACACTCCCTCTATGACTAGCCTCTATTCCTCGGATTATGAAGTAAATCAACTTTGTACACTGAAGCTTGTCATAATAACCAGTTCTACTCAGGTGGAAACACTTCCATGCACAGTGGATGTTCTGATTGCCCTAGCAAACAAAACTTTCTTTAAAATCTGAGATCTCATTTGAATAGAGTACCAAAAGTCTTAGGATAAATGAGGCTTTGGAAATTTTCTGTTTTTATTAGCTTGGAGATTATCTAGGTAATAACTACCATTCGCATTTCAACAAATGCATGCACAAGCAAGTAACTGTGATTCATTTATTCAAATGTTGAGAGTCTTTGTGTGTGAGGCATCTGTGGGGGGCGGGGGGAGCACACAATGAAAGTGAGGAGGCACCCTTTCCCCAACTATTTCTGTCCTCAGAGAGTTTCTGTTTAAGTGGAGGAGACAGACAGGTAGATCAAAGGTCACAGTGTTATGTGACAGGTGGATAGTGGATAGGAGATGACTGAACAGTAAGCCTGAAGCAAAAAGAGGAAGCAGCGTACAACACCTAAGAATGACAACGGTGCTTAGAAATAGGAGACAGTAGGGTTTTTCTGAATCTGGTGCCAAGGAATAGGAGGCTGCTGGCAGCTGGGAAGAGGGATGCATCAGGAGTGACAGGAGCTACGAGAGAGTGTTTTTGGAGAGTCGTAGAGACAGCACACAGCTATGTAAGGACAACTATGATGGCACATCATGTGTGAGCAAGGATTTCATCCTAGGAGGAACAGTGAGCTATTAGAAGAATTTAAAGAGAAGGCAGATGTGAATTTCAGGAAGATGGCCATAGTGGCCATGTGGATAGATGATGGCCCAGAAGGAGAAGAAAGGACAAGCTACAACAAAGCAGACACTGTGGCCTTTTGTAAATGCTTGCCTGCTGCAAGGAACAATGGGGGTCAGAAGAGGCTGAAGACCCAGCACTGAAAAGGTAAGAGATGCTGATTCTTTACATGTCAACCTGTAATGCAAACCCTCGCTTCATTTCTGAAACTTTTATAAGTTTGGAGACGGTCCAGGTAGGTCCCAAGGATTCCTAGAATTCCTTGGACATTTCTTGGGTGGGAGTGGCCTCAACAGAGGAAGAGACCAGGAGAGTAGGACCATCAGGTGTCTACACCTGATGCCTGAGTGACACCAACTTTATATGGGAGGTTCTATAAGATTTTACTTAAAAAGATGTCCTACAAAAAGCAGAAAAATGATCAGCAGGGTAGATTATCTATGAACATCTAATCTTATTTCCTGGTCATATTTACATAATCTTTTCTTTTTTGTTTCTTAAGTGTGTTTTGTCACATAATAAGCTTCCATGGCTGGCCAAAGCTGAGGCTCAGGTTAGTCTGTAATATTAAGCAATATCCTCTCTAGACTATGTCTGGATGCTCTGAGGTGGGCAAACCTCCCTACTGTCAGCACACTGAAAGCTCTGCTCAGCTATAACTTCTAATTTGTAGGAAAGTACAGAAGATCCTAGGGGAGAACTTGAACCCAGCTTTGATGGATTAGAAGGGAAATGGTGTGAGAAATGAAATCGGGCAATAGGGTTGGAGATCCCCACTGTTGGGATAAGTCTAGCAGACACATCAGACAGAGCAACAGGACTCCAGTGTCCAAGGCTGAGGCCTGGACCCCTCCCCAAGCCCAGCTCAGTTCAGGGCTTCCCTCCCCGTGGCATTCCTCTCGGCTCCATCCAGCTCTGTAAGGCTTCCCTCTTTGTGAGATCATCGGAAGAGGAAGAAGAGATCCGACTAATTAATGGCTGGGCAAGGGGTAACCCCATTCAAATTCAGAACTGGTCCAAAGAGATAAAAATCGGCAGAAACGAGGAATCTAACTCAGAAACTTCTGGAGGTCCCTCAAAGTGAAGTCTTCTGAAAAGTTCTTATAATATTTGCGTGGGAAAGCAGCTGATGGAATTTAACACGTGGAGCTTATGGCTGTTACTTGGAAGGTGAGTTTTGTGTTTTGGGTGGGTAAGCTCTATTTACAGTGAAGACTAAAAAAACGACAGAATTGTGTGGGCTGGGATCACGTGTGCGGGCAAGTTTCTACACTTCTTAAACAGGATATATATGTATCTTAAATAAAATAGTATTCAAAAGCCTAATGTACAACACGTGAACTTGTGCTGGTGGTGAATAGCAGCATGGGTGGGAGATGAGGGCTCACCCGTTAGCCCACCCTTCCCACGTAAGCACTGTAACTTGGCCAGAGACCTTCAGACTCTCTTCTTCCTCACTGTGTCTGGACATTGAGAATGAGGGGCACTTTAAAGTCTTGGAGTTTTTTCTATGAGATGGCTCAGCAGTTAAGAGCACTGGCTGGTTGCTCTTGCAGTTCCCAGCACCAACATGGCAGCTAACAATCATCCATAACTACAGTTCCAGATGATCCAATGCCCCGTCTGACCTTCATGGGCACTGCATGTATGTGGTGCACTTACATACATGCAGGCAAAGCACTCATACACATAAAATACAAAATTTTAAAAAGCCAGGTAAAAAGGGAGGATGTGGTTTGGCTGTCAAAGGGAAAAATCAAAGTAGATTCTAGGATCTTTGGATTTATATCTTCGGCAGGTTAATGCCTTCAAAAATGGTCTCATAATAAGAACTCAGAAGACTGAGATATAAAAATATTAAATGTAATTTTTAATGCAGGTAAAACTACTTCCTGATTCTACACAGATTACAAAAGAAAACTATAGAAATGACTGACTGGTAAAATTAACTACTTTAGTTCATGCTTATCCTGTGTTTAGCTAAAAGAATTTGTTTTGTTTCTCTGTCATCTTCTTAATTTCTTTTCATTCATTGCAGCCCACTGTGTAAGAGGCAGAACACTTTAAGTGTGCCTGAATTGCTGTGGAAAAAGCTCAAGATTCACTGTAACAATGAATATGTACCATAACTTCTAATGCAACATACAGTACTCAAAATAACAATCTCCATGTCACCTCATTTTTACACTGCATCAAGAAATTACTTTTCATACTTCCTTTCCATTCCCAGATCCATCACCAACACAGTCCATAGCCCCACACTCCTTGGATCTGTTCCTGAATTCCAACTCCAGCACTACGAATCCCATACCCCCATCTCCACTGTAAACTATCATCATCTCTCATCTGGCCGATTATAATGACATGATGGTGTTCAGCCTTTCTTCCTTCTCTCTTAATACCCCTCTCTCTACAGAGCAGCCAAGGTTCTCTTAAGAAAACATAAATCTTGCCACTTCCCAGCATAAACCCCCCACAGTAACTGCCTCTCATATTTAGAGGGAAACCCGATTTCTTGCAAGCTCACAAGGCCTACAGGAGGGTTTGTACCCGTCCACCACCTCTGAGAACACCCCCATCTACTCACCACCTCCCTTCCTATTCCTTTATAACCTTTCCTGTTCTTGTACCCTTCCAGGCCTTTTCTGAACTCAGGCAGGGCCTCTGTATGTGTCTGTGTATGTCTGTGTGTGTGCCTGTGTGTGTCTGTGTCTGTGTGTGTGCCTGTGTGTGTGTGTCTGTGTCTGTGTGTCTGTGTCTGTGTGTGTGCCTGTGTGTGTCTGTGTGTCTTGTCCAGGGGTACCCCTGGCGTATTCTTTTTCAGGACTAGCTCCTTCTTACCTATAGTTCACAAGTGAAATGCCATGTCCTCCAGGAGTCTCACTCTGACCATCCAAGGCAGGGATGTGCAACATGATTCAGGTTGAGTTTCCTGACTTCACTCTGTGTGATCCACTAAGTATATACTTGAAGTTCCATGACCAAAGGGAACATGAACACCTATTCCCCACACCTAGTGCTACAATAATGTAGTGCTTATACAAGATATCCAGCGCATGTTTGGTGAATGAATACTTCATTATCTCAGGGTATTTTAAGACTGTGATTCATTCAGATTTTACTAAATAATTACAAAACAGACTAAACATACTAAAGAATACAATTTTAAGATGCCCTGAATTAATTTCATGAATAATAGTCCTCTAAAGCACAATAATTATCATAGAAAAATATATTATGTGAGGTTTAGAATATGTATGCAAAATCTCTGTTAAAGGAAACATAGCTATCTCTCAATACAACATAACAAATTATTTAGTGTTACCAAGATTTTCTGTGGATCTCTATTAACTTGCTTAATGAGCCAACTACTCAGTCTTAAAATATGCAATTAGATAATTCTTCCAACAACTACTCCACATTTACTTTTTCAGAGAGGAAAACGATCAACACTGCTAAAACGTACAACCTAAAGACACCAACATTCTGCACAGACTATGCATTACAACTTGCCTATATCTTCATTTTTGTCTTATTTATGTGTGTGTATGAGTGAATGCCACATGTACGAGCTACCCCCCAAGACCAGAAGAGGACATCAGCTCTTCTGGTGCTGGAGTTAGAAGTGGTTGTGCTCCCACACGCATGGGTGTTGGAGACTGAACCTGGATTCTCTGGAAAAGCATCAAATGCTCTTAACCACTAAGCCATCTCTCCAACCTCACTTGTCTGTAGTCTGTAGGATGTATTTTTCTATTGTCAGAAGGAGTTTGAAAATACTCATAAGGATAAGTCACCTATGAGATCATAGGAACTTTATGGGATAAAGAATTCTTTGTAAACAGCTGTTGTTCTGTCCTATAGTACTTAGAAAAAATTAAGAAAGAGACTTTATTTCAGCTTTATTTTCTTACAAACATCCACTTAACTACAGTCCTTTGGGGGAATTTGTCCAATCTTGGAAAATTCAGATAAAATCAAACAGAGTGCCTTGGACTGAGTAAGCATTCTGTAAAGCATTCTGCTAAGTGAACTTCAAATGTTTAAAGATCTGAAAATATTCCAATGGTAAATGAACTTTGGTTTGAAGATCAT